AAAAAACAGGCACCCCCCCCCCCCCCCCGCCGTCATCTCACAAGCATGTCGTGAAAGATGACTAATATGGGTGTTTTCTTCAAGATGGGAGTGCATCTGCATGAGAGGTGAGGAACCAGCCGTCTGCATACAAACAAGCCAAATCTGTAAAACGGATGTGTACGCAAAGGTCAAGTTCTGGAAGAAGTCCAAATTCAAGAAGTGAATGAACAACCAGAACGTTTCGCCTGGGTTTACAGACAGTGAACGCTAAGAAAAAGAATCAGAAATATCTAGAAACGAGACCAGAACTATGTACCCATCATGCCTCATCGTTAGCTAGGTAGGTGCTTTGTTTGAAAAAAAAAATCATCATCACATTGAAGCAGCATCCTTAAAGCGGAAGCTTTAGTTTATATTTCTGACTAGGCTATGTGCGCCACATAAAATGGCTTAGAACTGCATGCCACTAAAGGCACTGAAAAGGACTCCTACAGTATTGATGCGGTCAAAGGAGACATATTCATGGCATTGTGGTGCTGGGGTGTCTGTGGATTACCTACCTCCCCGGGCAGCAGCTAGAAATACCCTGTACCAGTTCTAAAGGAAATATGGGTTGTGTTTCTGCCTTCCCCTTTAACACGTAGCTAAGGTGGGGCTCACAGTGTGCTCATTCCCCGCCACCAGATTGCCTGCAGGTTTCGCTGAGCTCTTCATGTCTCTAAGCATGGCCTAAGCATGAGTAGTTGGGGCAACTGGATCGTCACGTCCTGAGTCCCTGTGCCTTCACGATAGTTTCCCGGTATTCAGGGGGTTAGCATACTTGTTTCCATTCCTAAGACTGTTCAGCACACCTCTGGCTCCTTCCCTCCCACAGGGGGCAGTACGGTGTGGTGCACCGGGTTTATTATCGAGGTTTGCTCCTCTAGATCCATTGTGTTTTGCCTGGGGATTCGCACCCCCAGTTACCAGGACTACCTAGGGGAGGCTGTGACTCTTCACCACGCACAATGGTCTTGAGGTAAGAGAGGTTTTGCTAGGTCAAGAGGCTGACACCACAATGGACGCTCCTTTCGTGAACAGATATTCACTAGACCTAGGGTGAAGTAAGGGGGGGGGGGGACGCACTACCTACAACACCAACACTTGTTACCCCCTGCCTCTCGAGGCGTCAAAGGAGACAGACCCAAATACTGTCCCGACAAGCGACTAGGTGGTCTACTGGCGAGCCAATGGCCTCAGCTTAAGAAAACATACGCTTCAAAGAATGTTGCTACTTTTGGATTGCTTCCAGTTCATAATCGACAAAGTGGGAATCCATGGTAATTTCATCGCAGTAGAGACGGAGTTAAATCATGGCATCGTAGCCCTACTAGTGAATGACCGGAGGAAGCATTACGTGGAGGGAAAGGGTTGTCACAGCAAGGGAGGCAACACAATGAACACATTACTCCACCCCGTTCCACTTTTCTGGGACAAGATCGGGGCTTTAGTTATGCTAGGCTCGCATTTTTATAGACCTCGGTTGACAGTTTTTTTTCCTTCTAGTTGTGGGGGGTCTTATGGGGTCCATGCCGCCATGTTGGACGCCCTTGATCTATACTTAACATATCAACAATCAAACTCATCTACAATACACAGAGGTTCTCAGCCAAGCCCATCTACAGCACACAGAGGTTCTCAACCAAGTTCATCTACAATACACAGAGGTTCTGAACCAAGCCCATGTACAATACACAGAGGTTCTCAGCCAAGCCCATCTACAGCACACAGAGGTTCTCAACCAAGCCCATCTACAATACACAGAGGTTCTCAGCCAAGTTAATCTACAATACACAAAGGTTCTCAGCCAAGCCCATCTACAATACACAGAGGTTCTCAACCAAGCCCATCTACAATACACAGAGGTTCTCAACCAAGTCCATCTACAATACACAGAGGTTCTCAACCAAGCCCATCCAGAGTACACAGAGGCTCTCACGTTGGTATGGCAGCAACAGCAGCAGTAACATCCTGGGATGATAACAACTTTGCTGTTGCTGTGTAAACGTACATCTTAAAAAAAAAGGTTAAAGTGAAGAGAATCGACTTCATGTCACCGGATTTTACCCCATATAGCCTGATCTCTCTCGGCAAAACGACCAACAACCTACCCAGACCGTCGCACAAAGCACGTCCTATATATATGCTCAAGCGACGATCCACATGAATGTCCATAAAAAGTGCACTCATGAACTGAACAGCGCTGCGTGAAAAAGACCCTCGACCTTCAGAGCGAGAGGCAAACGACTTGACCACTTCACCACGAAGACCCCCCTAAATCTTCTAATACCAGGCAAATAATGTGGTCAACCTATGGACAGTCTTTTACTTCATAGTTAAGTGTTTGCATTGTGGGTCAGAATATGTTTCTCAGATCAACGAAAAAGCAGGAGTAAACGATAATCGTGGTCAACATCACGCCGACCAGCTTTACTTTCCAGGACTTTACCTGGTAGCCATTTAGAGCTTGGGTCGACCAGGAAGCCAAGGTCATTTTTTGAAAAAAAAAAAAAAAACTTCCAGCTCCGTCGCGACCTGAACGCACAACCTTCGGATTCGCAGGCGAGCGTCTAGCTGCTACACCAAGGAGGTTCCCAGTCTAACTGAGAGCCAAAATTAAATTATGAGAAAAAAAATCCATCCCGATAGGGATTTGAACTCACCACCTTCGGACCTATAGGCAAGCTCTTAGCCACCACGCTACATGTGCTTTCTACTATAGGACGTTAAACAATTGACGAACTCAGACTGAGTATTCATATTTTCTCATACAGGTATACCTTATTCTATCCTCAGGTCGACGCCGGTATGACAGAAAGAACTCCGGGTACAAAGGTCAAACAAGACCCATATTACGAAAAAAGGTTAGCAAGTCCCCCCCCCCCCCCCCTCTTCCCTCCCTCCCGACCCCATTTCTATTCGAGTTCAGGCCCAGAGGGGAGGGGGTGTATACTCACTGCCCCCCTAACAAGCCTGTCGTAAAAGTCGAATAATTAGGAGTGTATCCTTCATATTCCAAGTGCGTCTGCCTGAGAGACGAGGAACCAACAGTCTGCATAAATAAATCGGACCTGTAAATCACATGTGCACGCATAACTCAAGTTCTTAAGCCAGAGAACACAAACAGAATTTTCCGTCAGACTGTGAGAGCAAAGAAGAAGTTGATTTGCCTACGAAGACTCACTGACAATTTAAAAAAAAAAATTAGAACCCATCCAGCCACTCACTATTTACTTGATATGTTTATCGACATGCTACCAAGTCGATTCAGTAGTCTACTGGTGCTCAATTTTCCTATGCAGCAGCCATTTCAGTGTCTCTATTCTCACCGTGCACATTAGTAGCTGACTGGCAAGTAGCTGACTGGCAAGTAGCTGACTGGCAACTAGCTGACTGGCGACTAGCTGACTGGCGACTAGCTGACTGGCAAGTAGCTGACTGGCAAGTAGCTGACAGCTGACTGGCGACTAGCTGTCTGGCAACTAGCTGACAGCTGACTGGCAAGTAGCTGACTGGCAAGTAGCTGACTGGCCACTAACTGACTGGCGACTAGCTGACTGGCGACTAGCTGACTGGCAAGTAGCTGACTGGCAAGTAGCTGACTGGCAAGTAGCTGACTGGCAAGTAGCTGACTGGCAAGTAGCTGACTGGCGACTAGCTGACTGGCAAGTAGCTGACTGGCGACTAGCTGACTGGCAAGTAGCTGACTGGCGACTAGCTGACTGGCAAGTAGCTGACTGGCGACTAGCTGACTGGCAAGTAGCTAACTGGCAACTATCTGACAGCTGACTGGCAAGTAGCTGACTGGCAAGTAGCTGACTGGCAAGTAGCTGACTGGCAAGTAGCTGACTGGCAACTAGCTGACTGGCAAGTAGCTGACTGGCAAGTAGCTGACTGGCAAGTAGCTGACTGGCCACTAACTGACTGGCGACTAGCTGACTGGCAAGTAGCTGACTGGCAAGTAGCTGACTGGCAAGTAGCTGACTGGCCACTAACTGACTGGCGACTAGCTGACTGGCAAGTAGCTGACTGGCAAGTAGCTGACTGGCAACTATCTGACTGGCGACTAGCTGACTGGCAACTAGCTGTCTGGCAACTAGCTGACTGGCAACTAGCTGATTGTAATATTGTTTCCTGGCATGTGCGTGTGTCCCGCTGTTGGCTTCTGCATACTTGTCCTTGTCTAAAATATTAGAACTTTTTTTTTTTTTTTTTTTTTTTGGCGAATCTAAACAAGACTTAAGCCTCTTGAGCGCCCCCACCCCTAAAAAAAAGTGCAAGGGGGCTGAGCTTCTCCTCCAAACAATTCTTTGTGCACCCCTCTACCCCATTTAATAGTTGTTATTTATTTCTCTTGGTTCATTATTTCAGGCTAAAACAACAAAGAAGATTGTCCTAAAGTTGGAATGTCGAGACTGCGGGATCAAAAAACAGCTGCACATAAAAAGATGTAAGCAGCTAAAGCTTGGGGGAGAGCTAAAGAGAAAGGTAACATTAGAATATAAAGGTTGAATATTGACGACACAGACGAAGATGAGTATATGTAATATGTCTTTGTCAAAAGAGGGATGGAAGTTGTCAAGAGCTCTATAAATCCCATCCTGATATACGGAAGTGAATCGTGGACATTTTGAAAAAATTATGAGGAAGCATCGGAGATATAGTTTTTTTTAGACGAATAATAAGAATACTCCAGATAGATAAAAAGAGTAATGCAAATGTCTTGGAAAACATTGACTCACAAAGAGAACTAACTGGCTGTCTATATAAAAAAAAAGCAGTCTGCATTCTTTGGTCATGCGACGAGAAGAAGAAAACAAGAATACATCGTGACGGTAGGGAGGTTGAGGGCAAAAAATGCAGAGGAAGATCGAGAGAGAAGATACTTTGGAGTGTGACATTATGGAATGGAAGATCATATATGTCCGAACTGACTGAAAGTATCAGAGGCAGAAGGTTGTGGATAGACATCATCAACGCCAAGAGGCACGGACTATAGGGAGATGAATGATTGTTGCTGGTGGAGATTTTGTACAGGGGCGACGGAAAAAGAAAACATTAGGGGGGTGGAGGCACCCGTAGTAAAAAGATGAGCTATATCAAATTTTCCGGGGTAGGGAATGGATGAAGGGTGTTGAAGAAGCCTAGGCATTGTTTACATAATAATTAAAAATAATAGTAATTACAAAAATAACAGTAACAATAATATTCGGCTGAAATGGTAAATACTTATAATAAATATATGGGAATAATATTAAATGTGCAAAACACATACTTAACTCGTTTAATGACCCGGTGAGGGGAGTGGAAGGTGGGGGACTGGGCACTTAGACCCTAACACATTTTTTAGGGTATCTTAACTCCCTCTACGTTTTTCGTTTTGTTAGCACTTGTTCTAGTTAGGAAGCTCATAGTGAACTCAGTCTCTACCACCCCCCCCCCATCCCCTATATCCCATTATATAGTTAACTAGTTAACCCAACTACGATCAAGCTCGTCTACAATCCCAGATTATTCTTACCGCCTTCATGCAGCCGCTGCTTAAGATGGTTTAAAAACTGCTTGAAATGAGAAACAGTAAATCTTTTAGTGCCAGCAACTTATATTTTGACTGATTACCCTATATATTTCGTTGGATTCCCTATTGTTTCCTGCAACATTCCTACTCTGTGCTAGTTGCTACTTCAAGGCAGCATTGTGTTCTAGAGTTTATTATTTTGTAAATACTTAAATTTCAAGGATTCTCACTCAAAAGTGCCAGAAAATGTTGAATTAACCAACTCATACCCGAAGAGTTAACGAGGAAACACCTTACGAAAAAAAAAATTAAACTGGTTAATAGAAAACTGGGGTCCTAATGTCTTTTAGTCTCTCTTGCTCAAGCCTACCCCACCTTCGCGCGATGAACACTGTTATCGTCTGTAATCCAGTGGAAGGTTAGGGTTTCAGAACACAAGCGGAAAACTAGATGGGACAACAAACGAGGCAAATGCGAAATCCGTCTCCTTCGGCCAGCGACTAAGTTTAGTACATGGTGCGGTCTACATAATACACTACTGCAATGGTACTTTTGGTAGCTACCTTACGTGTTTAAAACTGTTGGATTTTGCCAAGACTAATGTCTATTCGACTTTTCACACGGAATATTCATGGGCATTTTGCCTTGATATCGCTGACATAGCAGTAAAGCAAAAATGGATGTGACCCGTTTGTGATGTATTTGAAACTCGACTGAGCCTGATTCATAGACTGATAGTAGAAAACGATACAAACAAGATCTAAACCAAGGCGTATACAAACAGTAAAGTAATAAACAAACCATTTTCTCTCCAGTGTCATGTCTAGCTGATAGTTTTTTTAAAGACCAATCGATCCCGAGATGTGATGTGGTCAACGTTACTCCGTTGGTACGCATTTTAAGCTGGGTCGACATGGAGCCCCATCTTGGTGAGGATTCTAACCGAAAATATGCAGGCCGATTGGCAAACTGCCCAAATTATAGAACAAAGGGATAAGTCCGGTCAGAGCTGCTCTGTTTGAGGCAAACTTCTTTTTTTGTTTAGACTGAAATCTGTTAAATTCTTAAATAACAGCGATAATAGCAACAACTGAACATTTTACACGTTTAATTTCACAAACGTTATACAAAGAAAAAAAAATCAAAACTTTTGAACTTTTTGAAAAGAACATTTAATGAGAATATCATAGTCTAGAAACACAGAATTGCTGATTTACAAAATCTGAACATGAAAGAAAAAGGTACACTTAAGCAGTTTTATGTCTCAGAAACGTAAAGACTATGGTCACAACAAACATCAAAGTCGAGATGAAAAAAACATTCACAGTTCTTGGATGCGATTCTGGTAGCGACCAACCAAAAGGATTAATACCTAAAGAGACAGAAGAGGAGAAAGGGAGAGGGAAGAGAAAGCGATAGTGATTATGAATAATAATAAAAAGAACAAAAAGAAGAGGAAGACTGCGAATACAAATACTAATAATATCAAAAAGGAGAAAAGGAAGAACGACAACAAGTAGTAGTGGCATTAGTTGTAGCAGCAGCAGAAGTAGTAGTAGTAGTAGTAGTAGTAGCAGCAGCAGCAGCAGCAGAAGAAGAAATAGTAGAAATAGAAGATGGTGATAGTGAAGAAGAGGAAGAGAAAGTGGGAAAAGAACAACAGCCGTAACAACAAAGATAACAAGTACAAGAAGAACCAAGACGTTACAAGGGGAAAAGGGGGGGGGGGGGGGTGGGCATTTCAGTAAAAGATCGCCGTAATACATTATAATATTCGCCATACATATTCCGGTTGCGATCATCCTCCTGCGGTAATATCAACACCATATTGTCATAAGTATGAGAACACCTTTTATAGACAGTAGAAGCCACTCACGACATTTTTCCTAAGTGACTTTTCTCATTTGTTAATTCCCTGTTGTTTTTTTCTTTCCACACAGGGCGAAGTGCTGTCATTTTAAGAGAACTGACAAGAAGAGACATTTTATCCTCATCTTTGTGTTATTTACGTCGGTTAGTGGATCGTTACAAGCAGACGACAAAATGAAGTTCCTAATTTTTTTTTCCCCAACAATAAAGAAAATATTAGATACATCAATGTGTCATGTAAATCATATACCGTATATTGCAGCGCATAAGTCGAATTTTCTTGCTTTAAAATGTTGACGCCATACAGAACGCGCTATGCGGGTCATTTTGGGTTGCACCAGAGTGGTGTGTATGCGATACATCCTTGGTTTGCCGACGGTTGTAGGTAGGCACAAGGTGATGCAGGCGAAGTCATATCTCAGGGTAGGTGCAGACACAGACCACCCTCTGCATGAAGCTCTGGGTGCAGTTAAGGGTCAGCGGCTGATAAGAGGGAGGTCATGGATGGCTCAGACAGAAGGCACAATCAGACAGGTTTGCATCCTTGAGAATATTAGGCGAGGAGAAGAGTGGGTCAAAGTGCCACCTGAACAGTCAGACTTGTGTAGAGTCATAATCACGCTGAGCCGGGAATGCAGAGACTGGCCAGCAGGTGCCTCAGAGGTGGAACTTCAGCAATTATTTCAAGATAATGCTCGCTCAGAGGATTTGATCATTTACACAGCCGGTTCAGTGTCAAGAGGCAAAAGAAGTGCTTGGGGCTTTTTAGCAAAAGTTGATGGTCGATGTGTGGTGCAGGAGAGCCTAGCATGTGATACCACAACAACCAGGTTAAGAATGGAGGTGGGAGCGGTCACTGCAGCTTTCCGCTGGCTAGAGAACACAACACACACACACACATCGTGATTGTAACTGATTCAGAAAGCATGCTGAGGAAGATCAGAACAGGTATGCTTCGTGCAGAGTGGCATACTTCGCTGCGGAGGACACGAGTGAGGAGTATTGTCTGGATTTTTACACAAGGTGACGCCGGTGTGTTGGGAAATGAACAGGCGGGCAGACTGGCTGGCTCTGCACAACTTGGTGGAATACTGATACATGATAGGGCAGACGTGGTTAATGCCTTGTGGGAGAGCGTGTACAGTTCGGAGGAGCAGATGGATCACCACAGTCTGGTGAGATTGCTGCAGCGGGGAGTGACGAGAGGTTCTGGCAGATGCTCGAGGCTCAGAGGAAAGGCAAGACGGACGTTTAATCAGAATGCTACTGGCACCATTAGTATCGTAACTTTTCGCTGGCTGCTGAAGATGGGGACGGAGCGCTTATGAGAATGCCCCGAGTGCTGTGATGTCGATTCTTGAATCAAATCAGTTCTTTGCCGACTTTCAATAATTATTGCTGTGCACCCCTGGCATACGCTAGCGGTACTTAGTTTAAGAACCACTGTACCAGGCTACCCCAAACATATCCAACTTGTGTTTGGTAAACATGTGTGGTATTTTAATACAAACATAACTTTGAAAAAAAAAGTTGTAAAGTTGCACAAATTCAGTACTCAGTTAATACTAAAACCAACCGGATGTTGGAGGGTCGACCTATATGACAGGAAAAGTCGTAACGCAGACATCTGGGCTTAAAATATTGAGGTCGGCTTGTGCGCCAGGTTGATTTCTACATAGAAATTTACAGTAATATATTGTTGTCGTGTCGCTCTAACTCAGTCGCTTTCATTATCGGTATACTTCCGCTGTACGCGGAAAAACACTACTAGACTTTGAGAGGACACAGATTAGAAGAATTTGTTAATGTTATAATAACAACGTCTTCGGACTGAAACCTCAAAGTAGATGGAGAGGGTGATACCTAAAAATAAAATACACAAGGAGAATAGAATTTAAAAATAAGAGAGAAAATGTGAGAGATTATTACTCAGTGTGTGTATGTGTGTGTGTGTGTGTGTGTGACAGAGAGAAAGTGAGAGAGAGAGAGAGAGATAGAGAAGGAGAGGGAGAGGGGACTAAATTGAGAACGAAACTGTTAGAATGAAAGGGCGAAATACAGTTATAGTGAGAGTGTGCGATAAAAGTGGACGGGAGCGAACAAAGATAGAGAGAAATACTGAGAGTATGGAAAAAATGATATAGAGACTGAGAGCCTGAAGATAAAATCATCATGAAAGGCACATGTTCATAAAAATTATTATATGACAAAGATAGCTGAAAATATCAAGGGTCACTATCACCATTCCCACCTAATACGTTTCATAACGCTCATATTCTACTGAGTTACTTACGTTTTCCCGACAGATATATTTAAAAATATACGATTTCATTACTGATAAATAAAGTCCCCACACATGCAAGAGACATTCTAATGCTAATTTCCCTATGTTGGCAGTGACAGTCTATATAAAACAAACAAACAGCGTTGTTTATCTGTTTGCATTGCATGTAGATGTTTTTCAAAAATTACTCCGTTAAAAATATAGTGGGGAGGAGCAGCAGAAACTCAACGATTTTTCCCCAATTCTTAGATCTTGATTAATAATAATAACCACCGCTGAAAGACACTGTCCCAATGCCTCAGTCTCTCATCCCTCCCTTAGCTGATTCTCCAACCACCTCAAGTGATTCCATATAAATCGTCTCATAAACATCGATTAGCTGATATTTATAAACTCCCGACATATTGTTATTTCAGACTCGTTTAATTCCTTATAATAAAAATAACCTTCAAACGTTTTCCTTAAAGTGCTCAACCAAAATATAAACGCGCGCGTGACAGACTGATGTTAAAAACGCAAGGTCCCGTTGACTTCATGACAATTTAAGCACTATTGTGTGGTTTCCAATGGCAATGATTTATCTCGTTTGTAAAAGCTGGAACCTGAACGCTGGATTTAATTGTGCCGGAAAATATTAAACTATCGTTAAGCCGTTTGGATGCTAATGATAATTAAGTTCATCGTCAATCATTGCATATAGATTCAATTCAATTCAGTGTTAAAGATAACCACGTTCAATAGCCTCCTGGGAAGGGCTGCTTCTTGGGAGGCTGTGTTTACATACGGTAGGAGCTCTCAAGTTTTTTTTATAACGAAGTATATACGATCTGGTTTGAATCCCTTTTGAGGCGGCTTTTTGTTTCTTTTCAAAACTGACCTTGGCGTATCCTAAAATATATACGTGACTTTCTTCTTTTTTGTTTTTTAAACTTATGATTTCAGGTACTTCATGTAGTTCGCTTTTAATAGAGTGGTTATACGTCGCGTTGTAGTTTACAGATGTCTGTACCTGTCGACCCACCAGATTCGATTTTAGCAAACACTTAATTAGTCAGTTTTGATGACCTAGTCAAGGAGCGGCTGGCGGAATGGTTAGAACGCCGAGTTCTCAAATGGGAGACCGGGTTAGAATCTTCAGTAAGGTCAGAGGCAAAATACAAATTCTCACCTGTACGGTCCTTGGCGACAGCACTACCCCTGCGGCGCTAAAAACTCAGGCTCAAAGACCCCCCCCCCCCCCCCCCCCCCCCCCCCCCGCCTACACCACAAAAAGTAATATATTAAAGGCAGTAATTAGCAGTTTGGCAGTCTGACGACCTAGTCGATAGATGACAGTAGGTTTATCCCACCCCCACCCCGCCTTTCCTTTACAGACTGTTGGTCGGGAACCAACAGGTAAAGGGGAATGGGCGAGACAAGAGGGGAGACGGACTGCGCTTTGGGGATTAGGGCCCATAATCGAGGTTTGGTGTATGAGGTTTGATATCTCAGGCCTGACATGGTGAGGTCAGAGTTTGATATTAAATCCTGTCGCATCCAGAAGGCTAAATCCAGTTACTTTAGGTTGTGACACAGACCCGTAGATGTAATTTAGATACAGTTCAGTATGTAGAAAACACAAATTGCAATCGTGCTACTCTTTAACTGGCTAAAGCCCTATTTTAATTAGTAGGGTTTTCTTTGCCGTCTTATTCGTATTTGTACATTTACATGCATTTTTGTGTGAATCAAGGTCATTTTAAACATATATTTTAAATTGGATAAATAAGGGATGGCGTTTGAGGTCTTAATAATAATATTTATCGCAGGCTACAACTGATCGGTGTCCGGTGGAAGGTTTCTGTTATGTGGCTTGACATGTGCGGTTTGGGGTGTGAGGTTTGAGGCGACATGTTTCGGTTGGAAATTTTGAGGTGGTAGGTTCCTGTTGTACGATTTCTGTTATGAAGTTTGAGGTAGTAGGTTTCTGTTGTGAGGTTGGAGAGTATGAATTTCTGTTGCGAGATTTGTGGCCTATGTTTTGAGGATTTAGGTTTAGGATTGTTGGTGGGAAGTAAAAAAAAAAAAAAAAAAAGCTGTTGTGGCTTAATCTCTTTCAAATATTAATGAGAGATCAAAGGTGGAGGGTGGCGTTGAAGTAGTTCTGCCCCCACCTCTAAGTTCTATGGATCTTTAGGGCGATGTCTGAGGTGATGAGAAACACATTTCGCAACATTAACCACTAGTGACAGAAGCTTGAAATATCATGTTTCTAAAATATAACTGGTATATATATTTAAGAGACAATTTTAGTGACGAGCTTCCTAGGCAACCCAACTACGTGACCCACAAGCAAAGCCCAACCAAACACATCTATGTCGTCTTTGTGGTCAAGATGTGTGTCTTCTTATCCTTAGCACGAACTCAGTACCTCCAGCAAAGATTTTCAGAGATATCTGAAACAACTGCACTCGCGAACTAAGCGACGAAACCGACACCCAAGATTCAGACGGTCAGACAAGAGGCTAAATTCTTTCACAACGAAGAACCCCACTCTCCTTTAAACCCAGTCAGTGAGAGGGACTATGATAATTTTTCTGTATATTTGAATCCGTTACAATCCATGTTATGCAAAAGGCTGTCTCATTTAAAAATAAGAACAAGCGTTCTGAAATGTTATGTTGAACCACTACTGCTGCTGAGTGGCTGTGAATCCTAGAATGTGAATGAAGAATTTACGAAGAGCTTGGCGGCCGTGAAAATAATAATAAAATGAAATAACTATACATCTATCAGAAAGAGGCAGTCATTGTTCTTCGGTCATGGAAA